GTTCTACAAATGTACTCGAAACGATTTATGTTTGCCATTTTAGTATTATAATAGTTATTATTTATTCGAAGATCTAACTTTGTATTTGATTTCAATTGTAATGTAAAGTGGACTTGCGTTTGTGCGTAATGTAGCCAAATAGAGATACTTTTTTGGCGTTTCATTGTTTGCTAATTTTGTTGACTTGTAAAGTAACTTATCTTACATGGTACATCAAAGTAATTGTGGGAAGAATAATTGTTATTTGATAATGATTTGATATATTATGTTGATACATGGATTGTATAAATTTTATGGGGGATATTGATATGGTATTAAATGAGGTTCGCTTTTAGAAAACTTCTTTAAAACAACATAGAATTGTTGTTCCGGGCCTGGTTGTTTGTTACCGAACCTATGACACAAGTGAAAGTCCTAGTGAGGTGCAAGTTTTTAGTTGTAAATAAATTATTTTGTAACTAAACCTAATTAGTTGATCCTTCTTTGTAAAGAGAATTTATGTGCAAAGTAAAACATGCTCACTTTACAAGAATTTAAGGAAGTTTTGGCTCGATTGTTGATAGTAAAATATATATTTTTTTGTTTCAGTTCATACAAGGCGATTCGGAGATCTAAGCTTGAATAATATTCAGGAGCCACATTTTAATAATCTGGTAAAGAAGAAAGGAGAAACAGTATACTGCTTTTAAGTTTTAACCTAACATTTTTTGAAATGAAACTGACATAAATGCCGTTTAATTTTGAATTACGAATGTTCTATATAAAGTATTAGTAGTATTTTAAAACGAAACACAGATTGATTCTCGACATCTGTCCAAGGTACCTAGAACAGATAATCATATCAGTTGTTATTGTAATTAATATGTTTATGTACCCACATTAGAATAGACGATAACCTATTAAAGATTTATTATTGCTTGCCTCTGTCATTTCATAGTATTAGAAAATACCTAGTATCGACTTTTGCCTTATTAATCTCTGAACTTCTGCCTTGGGATGGGCGAGAAGAAGTGTCAGACGCTTACTAACTAAAAGCCTTGAAAATCTCAGCGCAATGGTATAATGGTAAAGTCTAGTGGACACCCATCTTTAGTGGTCTGTTGTGCCATGATGAGACGCGACACACCGTACTATTGGGACTGGTTCTCGATCTCGAGCCCTTGCTCGCCGTTCACAGATCTGGCGTATACTGCGACGGAATCTTTGAATAGTATCTGATGGTAATAAATAAATATAATCTGATGGTTGAAACTGTAATATATCGGCAATTGAATCCCATGTTTTCAGAATTATTACCAAACGAAATTTCTAAATATGATGTATGGCAACGGGACCTATAAAACTGTAAAACAAAAAAATATTCCTTCGCCTGTCTAGCAAAACTACACCCAGACTGAATTTAGTAGAACCTGTATTATTTATATCGATACTAATTTGAAACTCGATACTCCATTAGTCGTTATAAAGCCCTAGTTCGCTAGAGTTAGACTTGAAACTTTAATAATTAGGTTCTAGGTATCGATATCGATTCAACGTTTTGATCTCTTCAAACAATTGTGTCTGAACATCGATTGTTAACCCAATTGGTAGTACAACCGGTATCATAATACCTAACGCGGTGAATTTATCCGATTTTCTGTGTATATTCATCATTTATATTTATTCAAAAGGATTATTTTTAGTTAAAAGGATTAAAATATTTTGTTTATGTAAAAGTTTTTTTGGAAGATAAACGAGCTTACAGATTACCTGATGGTAAGCAATCATCGCCGTCTTGGACACTTGCAACACTAGAGGAGTGACGAGTGACGGGTCTCCAGCCCAGAAGCCTCCTCCTTGGTCTGGTTAAATTTTCAATAGTACATTACTTCAAACCTTCATGTGTGGGAGAGCCAAGCTTCGGCACGAATGGGTGGGCTCGACCGGAGCGATACCACGGCCTCACAAAAAACCGGCGTGAAACAACCACAGCGTTATGTTTCGCCGTGTGAGTGAGGTTACCGGAGGCCCAATCACCCTCCTTCCCCATCCCTTCCCAATCCCTAATTAACTGAAACCCTTATCCATAAAATGCCGGCAACGCACTCGTAATTCCTTTGGTATTGCGGTTGTCCATGGGCGGTGCTGATCGCTTATCATCATTGAATCCGTCCAGTGCCAGCGTTCGCGCACCAATTGTTCTTCTATCGTTTGCCGATATATTCCTTAAAAACTAGAGATCCCTTGTTTTGGTAATGGCTAGAGAACTCCATTTACGAGACACGTCATGTCGATGGTGAATGCCATGCAACGTGTTACACGCAATTACTTTTTGGGTAATCAACAAATTGGTGCTCCGAGTCTTAGTGAGATCTATACTAATACTTATATTATAAAGAAGTGAAATTTGTACGTTTGTAAGTTTGTTTGTAGAGACATTAGATAGGTTACCTGTAAGTCGACCAAATGTCAGAATGTGAAATAAAAAATAAAGGAAAGGCCCAGAAGGAATTTTATTTTTTGTTTACTGGCAAATGAGTTGGCCCGAATACTCTGGCACGTTACTTCACTTGTTGTCATTATTCTAAATGCTGATTGATGTTAAATCAGGCGAAAAGAAAAGAATCCTACATTGCCTCCCTGTCCCATAAAAATATTTTATGTTCTCCCAAGATACAGTTTGTTTGCTTATATTTAAGAGCATTAAATAATGAGTGGTATAATCTAATAATGATATTTGACTAGAGTAATAAATTTTCACTTTAACAAGTTATGGTGAACAAATATCATTATAAATCATGTTTGCACATTTAAAAATGTGTGTTTGAATAAATAACATCATAGTAATGAGTTTCGTCTTATCATAATTGCTACTACAAACGAAATAAACTTATCATATAAAAGAAATGTTAACTGCTTTGTCATTCAAGTGGTCACTAAGCCGAATTCTATGGGAAAACTTCGAGCGCTTATATTTTGCTCTCTTAACTTAAATAGAAAATTATAAATTTAATATTTCTACTTCTTATAAAATAATCTAAACTATGTATGTGTTCCTCCTTTTAACTATAATAACTTATTAAACGATTTTTTAGGTAAGTAACAAAGATAACCAGGTCATTGACTTTTTATAAAATTAATCATTGATTGAACGAACGAATATAACTTTAGTTTTACGATTTATTCCAGCGTATTTGATTATAAAATATTATTAGCTTAAGTAGTAAATTGTGTAAATATTAAGCTGTTATGCTCAGTTAAACTAACGCAGTCATTAAGTCCAGACACTAATTACAGTCATTTAATTGATTAGGTACTTGTACCGCAATTTTTTTGTTTAATTTCTGTTTGTATTCAAACTTCTTACGTGGCATAGTAATCATCATCATCATCAGCCTATATGTGTTCACTGCTGAGCAAAGGCTCTTCTCACACGGAGATGATTTGAGCAATAACCACCACGCTTGCTCAAGGCAAATTGACGATTTCAAACTTATAATTAGAAATCATAAGTCTAGGTTTCCTCGCGATGTTTTCCTTCACCTTAGGTCAGTGGTGTTTAAATAATCATAGAAAGTACATATAAATCGGAAAAGTCACATTGGTACTTGCCATGTTTCGAACGCCCACCCTCATGCATGAGAAGCGGGCGCCTTAACCTCCAGGACACCACAATATTAATGGCTTAACAGTCAGTTCGTTCTTTGATAAAATAATATTTATTTATCATCAGTCCTTAATAGGCATATTCTTTAAATTTAATATAGAATATTATAAATTAGATTTTTCATAATGGCTATTTTAACATGAACCTTTTTTGTTATGCACTAAGTTAGTTGTAAACTATTTTCGATGACGTTTTCAGTAGAGACCAGGTTTTTTTTATAAAAATATTTATTTATGAAGTAGTGAGAACTAAGTATAATTGTAAATAATAGTGAATATGAATCAATAGTTTGATAACCTCGCTATTATTATAAAAAATCTCGCATGTTTACGAAAACCGCTGATAGCGCGAATACGTCGAAATTTGTAGTGCCTACCTATCTTTTGTTTTCTGACGAAATTTTGGCGATTGATAAGTAGTTTTTAGAATTTATTATTAAAAATGTATAAAAATAACTAAATGGTATTTCCGAGGTATTTTCAGAGTGGCGTTTGTTTAGTTTTCTCATTGAAGGGAGTAAAATCATTACATAGTATTTTAACTTAAAATCGCGGGTTACTCACGTCTATATTGAGAAAAGCTCTACTAGTTTCGCTCTTGACGTCGCCGCGTACGCGCACGCTCGTCATGAGGAAGAACCCCTCTGTGGTTCGAAACTAGTAGAGCTTTATCAAGATAGACGTGAGTAACCCGCGATTTTAAGTTAATTTAGTATGTCTCACGATAGGTATTATAAAAACATCGTATTTTGTTTTAGGATAGGTTCGCAAACGAGGTTTAATAATGCCCATGTCTAATGCCCATGGACACCTGCAACACAAAATTCGGAATTTAGGGATTGAGGAGAAAAGTTGTCGCGAAAAGTATTAATTGAAATACCTTGGTAGTTGTTGGTTGAAGTACCTGTCCAACCAGGTATTCCAATAAATACTTTTCGCGTTAATACCCGCGTAATTATATTATGTTGTATTAAGTTTAAATTCGCAGTTCTTTCATTTTCGACCATTTATTGAAATTTTAAATATATAAATACCAAATTTAGTTGATTCAATTTTAATTACTATTTTTTATATTTTTACTATTTTTAGTAGGAAGGACAGACATTTTTTTTAAATGAAATAAAACATGTTATGTAAAATATGTTTATACAAATTACACATGTTTAATTACACATTATGTACGAAGGCAAGGACCAAACTTAACCTTTGTGTACGCAAATAACTTCTAAGGCTCCGAGGCAGTCATCGTAACTTACCTATTAGGAAAATAATAATAATTGTGTTTTGTTATGTAAGACCTTAGTATCTGCATAATACCTAGTACTAAGAAGTCAGTTTACCTGGACGTTATGTGTGTGACTGTACTTATGTAAATATCCGTCTACCGTTTGTACATAAACTAATCGTTCTCCAATACTTTGTTCAGTATTTTTCATCTTACCACACAAGTTGGTTTTAAACAAGTCAAACATGTTTTGGAAATATTTCATTTTTATTTGTGTTCTGTTGGTTTTTATTGTAAGTTGTGTAACTATTTTATTTTATTTTTTAATAGTGATTAAAATCAGTTGTCATATGTTGGTAAATTGATTTCTGTTAGAGATATAAAAACAGACTTTTAAACGATGAAATATAAGTGTGTGACAGCTACGCTTTGGCACGAATGGGCTGGCTCCACCAAAGGGATACCACTGCATCACAGAATATATATGATTATATATCCTGTATAAAAAAACATAAAACAATAGCTGCAAATGGCGAATTTTCGTACAGAGAGTAGGATTAAGGTCTTCCGTGATGATAACGGTGATGCAAAAATATTTCTCATTTTCTGAGAGTTATGAAGTATGGATAACGTTTACAATAACAATTTAATTTAAAAATATATATGTATATTAAAAGAGGTGATTTACGCCACTCGTGATAAAATAAACACGCTGTAGATGGAAGTTGCTTAAAACACCATAATTAGAATATACATGTATTAAGCAAGCGTTTCGTTTCGGGATCATAATTTACTTCGGGTCGAATAAAGTGGTAGTTATCAAGTATATTGGAAAATGCTCAGTATGGGAGAGCCATGTTTCGACACGGCCTTACAAAATACCAGCGTGAAGTAATACTTACGTTGTGTTTCGCCAGTGAATGAGGTAACCGCGAAGACCTAATTCTACCCCCCTCCCCTTCATCCACAAGTCTGCTATCCTTAAATCCGTAATATATACGTATTGTAGGCCCAAATGAAAAAGTATAAACTAATGTATTAATATATCTCAAACTATAAACATTAAATACAAAACAAACTATCAACATAGCTATTGAATTGTTTTGGTAAATAAATTCCTCTCTAATTTGTATTAGATTAATGTTGAAAACGATAAATATGTACAAAGGCATTTAGACCTGTTATTTGTATAGTTAAATTCAAAGTTTGCATCATTGGTCAACTGGCTGTAAAGGCAATTGTTAAAAAAGAGGTCTCATGTTTACTTTCTGAATGTGGAGAAGTGTTATGGGGTTTTCGTACATGAAATATTACAATGTTCTTTTAATTTTGAGGGGTAATCATCCAGTGACGACTCCTGCTCTGAATAGCTTAAAAAACCACCCCGTTCTAATTCCAGCTCCAAATTGAGGCATGGTTAATGATAGTATATTGCGCGATCACTCGCAACTTTTTGGTATCGAGTATTGAAGTGAACCCGATATATGTGAAACAATAGTTCTATTCTTTATAGGACTAAATAGGATTTAACAAATATTATTTGTTTTTGAATGTGCATCGCTGTAACCTAATTGTGACATTTTGTATATGATACGCCCACAGAATGGAGATCCTATTACAATGGACCCTGTCACCTCTGCTACTCCTCCAACCCTTAACATAGACAGCATAAAGAAAAACATGGCGGAATTCAGGGAATGCATTGACAAAAGTCTTGCAAGTGCAGTTGGGGATGTTAATGAGAATCATCTGCAACCAATCTTCACTGTCATTGGAGATCACCTGAACAGGTTGTCGAGGGCGGTACGTATATATTGATCCTTTTTAAAAAATGACTTTTGGTTATAAGTTGAAAGAGGGTAATTATCATGGTAATACATGGACGAACGATTTGTTTTTAATTCAATTTTTTATAAGTGTTTAGAGATAGAAAATGTCGATGATATATGTTACTTGATAACGCTTACTAAGTTATATGCGCCTGGTAGGAAAAAAATGTTAAATGTATTAACAACTTTTTAGTATGAATGTTTTGTCATACTACTTATACTAGCGGCCCACCCCGGTTACGTACTGGTGCAAACCTACAGATTTAATATGTGTTAAATATTATACAATTATATATGTAAACATTCCTCTTCATTCAGTCTAACTATTAAAAACCGACATCAAAATCCGTTGCGACGTTTCAAAGATTTAAGCATACAAACATAGGGGCAGAGAAAGCGATTTTGTTTTGAACTATGTAATCATTTTTTTCATTTTTATATGTACATATTTGTTTTAATATTGTCCCTACCCAAAAGTCGCGACAGCTTAATGACTCCGAGTAATTGTTCTATCTGATAAATAAAAATATGCTTGCCAATAGAATTCTTTAAAATAAACAACTTAATGTTGATTTTCCTTTACAGTACGATGAACTGACAGGCGCTAGAAAGGAATCAATACAGTAATATATGAACATTACACGGATAACGATGAGCTAATAAAACGTAACTATGTTTTTTAAATGTGTTTTATTTATATGTATATGGAATTGTTTTTAATGTTCAAACAGCATAGATCAGCCCCAGGATAGTCTCCTAATCCACAGAACTCATAAATATTTCCTTAAAGCAATACAATATTACAGTTCATGAAACCATAATAGTCTCTTAATAAACTTAGAAGTCTTTTATTGATTGTCGACTTTAAATGTAGATAGATGTATTTAAGTTTATTTTAAATACAGATGATATGTTTGTCCGACACGTCTTTATTTCGCATTTAAAAAATAAAAGCCATATTACACAAACAACAATAGGATTACAGTGTACACAGTGGTACTTAATTTAAAAATGCATTTATTTTATGGTCTTATATTATTATGAACCATGTAGGACATATGTAGTTACAAAGTGTTGTCATTTACTTACAATAATATTATTGTTGTGTAACAGCAATAATAATAATAATCTTGTAGGATGTTGGGAATTATCGAGTGTTTTTCTAATTTGTCGTGCATACATCATCAGTCTACATAATTATATCCAAGTGCCCACTGCTGAGCGTTGGCCTCTTCTCACACGGAGATGGTTTGAGCATTAATCACCACGCTTTGGCAATTTCAAACTTATAATACGAAATTACAAGTCTATATTTCCTCACGATAGTTTTCCTTCACCAATAATTATATAATACGATCATTTTGACGTGTATATACGTGTAATTCTAAGTTACTCTTGACTTTGAGTAAAGTCAAGTAAGTAAAGTAAATGTTGTGGTGGCCCGGAGGTTAAGGAGCCCCCTTCTCATGCATTAGGGTGTGGGTTCGAAACCTGGCTAGTACCAATGTGACTTTTTCCAACTTATAATATGTACTTGTGATTATTTAGATACCACTGCCATACGGCGAAGGAAAACATCGTGAGGAAACCTGGACTTATAACTTCTAATTACAAGTTTGAAATCGCCAACCCGCATTGGGCAAGCGTGGTAGTTAATGCTCTAACCTTCTCCGTGTGAGAAGAGGCATTTGCTCAGCAGTGGGCACTTATAAGCTGATGATGATGATGAAGTAAAGTAAATAGTTATTTAAGTCTTAAGAAAGAGACGTTGTTCTTTACACACTTAAACGCATCTCATTGCACTAGGGAGATTTTTCCGATCGAGAAGTTTCTGACTCTTACTATCTTATCTTTAGTTAGTGGGGTGGCCCCTCCAACTCTTGCTTCGAGTCATTGCGTTTTCTCGCCATTTTTTGTTTATTTTTCTCAAACACAACAAACGTGTTAGTTATTTAAGTTTCTGATTCTTTCTGTTAACTTTGTTTTTGATTATACACTGTGTCTTGTGTTTTTAATTAATTTTCCTGTCGAAGGTCTGCTGGAAGAAATTCCTTTAGGTGTATGCAGTACCTTCGTGCCTCCTAATATGATTTATGTGAAAAACAAATAAATTAAAAAAAAAAATTAGATCTGAAATTAAATAAATATTACATAATTTTTGATCCGGACACCGAGAAACTAGTAGTGAGTTTTAATTAATTGGTTATTTATTAATTGGATGTAATGGAATCTTATCTTCAATAATATTTCCACTGTTACAATAATTGAACTTCGTGCCTATGCAAGTATATGCACCGACTCCCGCAGTGATAAACAGCTGACGGATGTTGTTATGTTACTATCTAATGCACCTCGTTACACACATAAGATGGAATTACTGATATTGGGTGTATGTTTGTGTGCTTGCCTATTTATTATATATAAGTACGTGATTGAATATAATAATAATATTTTCGCACAGTGTAGCTACTAAATATTTTATTTTAAGTAGGTATGTGGGCTCTAGAGCAATTATGTTTCGCTAGAAGTAGGCTCTAAGCAGAAGAAGGAGCGGGTTGGTTCTTAGTTAGTAAGAGTCAAACGGGGGATGAGAAAAGCAGTTTGATGATTTTCCCACTCAAAAATGGTTCATCATCAGCCTATAAGTGCCCACTGCAAAGCAAAGGCCTCTTCTCATACGGAGAAAGTTAGAGCATTAATCACCACGCTTGCTCAATGTAGGTTGGCGACCAGGTTTCCTCACGATGTTTTACATTTTACATATTGTACATATAACTCGGAAAAAGTCACATTGGTACTTGCCAGGTTTCGAACCCACACCTCATGCATGAGAAGCGGGCTGCTTAACCTCCGGGCCAAAAATGGTTGTTTCGATAAAAATGTATTTTGTAAAAAGGAAGTAGGTATGTAATCTCGAATGAATTGTTATGAGTCCCATGGTCAGCGTATTACCATATAACGGGCACAATTTCAGCATCCGTGGTATCACCGTAAAATATAAGAAAAGAAATCGTTTATGTAACCCTGTTATTAAGTCCTACCACTCTTTTTTGGAGGGCGAAAATCATTCTATTAATTCTCCCGCTCTGCGTAGAGCGAGATGGAGTGTTAGACTCTTAATTGTCCCCTCTTCTTCTCATGCTCCGAACTAGGTGACAGTTCATCATGGCGCTTGAACCGACAATCCCGGCTGGAGAATTTGGCACCTAGCTTCACAGTTAAACCATGATACCAACAATGCAATTTACAAAACCTAAAAAACGAAAACTGCCATAATTAGTTTATATTCTAAACTAGCGACGCGCACCGGTTTGACACGAGTGCAATGCTAAATTACTCCACTATTAAATGGTTGTTATTATACATATATGAACCTTTCTTTTCAATCATTCTGTCTAACAAAAAAAAACCACATCAAAATTCGTTGCGTAGTTTAAAAGATTCAAGCATACTATACTGTATATTGGGACTGAGAAAGCGACTTTGTTTTATACTATGGAGTGATAAATAGTGTTAGTCCAGTACTACAGACACAATTCTTTACCTTACTCTGCGTATAGGTACATAAAATGCGGTTATTGCAGTTCAATTATTCCATTCATCTGGTACGGAAATGAAGCATTAAAATGAGTCAAACGGCCGGGAACAGACTTAATCCAATATCCCGTTTGCTATTTGCATAACGACTTTGATGTGCCGGTTTGAAAAAAAAGTCGAGTTGATTTACTCAGTGGATAAGTTATAAGCTATCACTATGACACTTTTTGCTACTTTTCAGATAGAAATATAAAATTAATTGACCAAGAGTAACCATAGAGTTGTTTATTAGTTTTCCTCCATTGGAACACTTTGGAACGAGGAAATAGCTTCACTAGAGTACCAATCTTCTCACTAAATTCCTTAAATATTTGATGACAGGTGTAATATTTTTGGACATTTGTATATTTTTCATTTTTCATAACTTTTGAGCAAATATACCTTGCTCTACCATACCTACCTACTAAGTAATATTATAAACGAGGAAGTTTATAAGTAGGTACGCATTTTTTTATGTAATAGATCGTCCAACGAGCACGCAGATTACCTAATGGTAAGCAACGGAGGAGTTACGAGTGCGTTGTTCGACAACCCATTTTTCACGTTTTAGGGATTTGGGATTTGGAGTTTTAGGGATTGAGGAGGGATTGGGGGAGCGGAAGGATTGGGCCTCCGGTAAACTCACTCAACGCTGTGGTTGTTTCACGCCGGTTTTCTGTGAGGCCGTGGTATCACTCCGGTCAAGCCGACCCATTCGTGCCGAAGCATGGGTCTCCCAAACTTGAAAGATAATTTCCCCCTCAAAAAAAAGAGATGTCGACGCAATAATGTTTGTTATTCTTAAGCGAAAAATTACTAGTTTTAACATTTGCATATACCTATCTTTCTGCTTTGATGCAACTTCATAGCTTATTATTATGATACCATAGAAGTAAAACATGAAAAGAAAATGTAGACCTAATACAACAGACGAAAATTATTGATTAAAATTAATAACTACATTAGCACTGGCTTATCGATTTATTTCTTTGATCTGACAATTATTTTAATCAGTACATTGCAACTGGAAACAAGATAGATCAACATGCAATTAAATAGCATGTGTTTAGCACGTTGCAAGCTGATAACATCAAAAATGCAAGCGTGGCATATAAACTGACTAGCTTATGCTCACTGGTCTACTTGACATTAAAGCTAATACTAATTTATCACTTATATGAAAATAGCTTTCTGAAAATAGCTTTCTAACGTCATTCAGCATCTTTGCCAATAGAACCTAATAGGGTAAAATTTGTCTAGTACCGCGGCCTTTTAGAAAACTGTTGTGAAACAATGCTTTTGTTTTTTTTCTTCTTTGTTCGTTTGGGATTAAGCATGTTCATAAAGGAGCTATCCTTCTCATGCTCCTACCACCGCAGTAGGCGACAATCTGGGTGTCGGGTATCAAGTGATGGACTCGGGTCAGCGCAAGCGCGGATCTGCGAAAGGTGTCCAAGAGTAGCTCGCCGCCCGACCAGAACCAGACCCGAGCGTACGGCGCATAGCGTTCCGCACGTGCGTCAAATAGCCAATATGCCGTGAAGGTACCGCGGTCTTGGCCTAGAGCAGGAGAAGAAAGGTAGGAAGTTGTTAATTAGTAAGACTCGGACATTTTCTCTCGCCTCACCCTGGGCAGGGAGGTCACTTGAAGATTTTCCTCTCGCAAGCAAAAGGCTACGTCATCTTCCATCAACCAGTTCGTAAACTTCGAAAGCAGTATGTAGTTTTTAGCTTCTCATAATCTACTCAACCACAGCGTTGGGTTTCGCCGTGTGAGTGAAGTTACCGGGGCCCAACCCCGCCCCTTCTCCTATCCCTTCCCGATCCTTATATCCACAACCCCTATCCTACCCTTTGGTGTTGCGGGTGTCTATTGGCGGCGCCGATTGCATACCATCAGGTAATCCGACAGCTCGTTTGCCGATTTATTAATGTAAAAAATCATTTTACTTGGTTCACTACTTTAGGCGTGCTAGCTGAACAAACAAACTGCTTTTCCTATCGACAATATTGTATTTAGGATTAGTGATTCACCATTGACCTGAGGTCAATGCAGAATGTTCTTCGAACTTTGAGAAGATATAGGAGTCACGTATAGAGGAGATCGCAGTTTGCATCTTACAGTTGCATTGTAAAGTTGTGATATCCTCATCAATATGAACAAACTGTTGATTATCCTTTTGGCCGTGTGCCTTGTTGGCGTGAGTATATTTTTCGTTATTAAGTACAGACGCAAATTAATAATCTTAATTAAACTTATTTCACTTGATTTATTTTTAAGAAGAATTTGTAACTACCTATATTCTATTTGTGTGATTCGGTACCAAAACAAAAGCTATTGTAACATAAAACAATATTTTTCAACAAAGACAAATATTATCGTCTATGCGTGTATTGCATGTATATCGGCTCTGTAGACAACCAATGGCGACTTTGGTAGTGCTGAATCATTCTTTAATATATTATTTTCATATCAGATAACTCATATGAGTGTATTATTTAATACTGATTCGACTGCACGTTTGGCGCAATGGCTAGACAACTGGCTGCCGCACAACGTGTTGCAGGTTCGGTTCCCGCACGGAAAACAACTTTTTATGAAATCCACTAATTGTGGTTCCGAGTCTGGATGTGATGTGTATGTAAATGCATCCACGATGCAGGAGAAAATCCTAGTGCAACATTGTTTTTTAAGATAAAAAAGTAAAGAATTAGATTTTTCTAACGATCGATTGATCTCAAAACCAAACCAGATGATATTTAATCCTTATTACTAAATATCGTTATTTGCTGCTTTTAGAACAAATCAGTATCATAGATTTTCTGTTTTTTTTTCTGTACAGGCTCATGCCTATGTCAAACGCGATGCACCGGCAGCAGGAGACACAAACCATTTGGAGGCCATTCAAAAACAGCTCCAGGAATTCTCGAAGAATATCAACAGCCAAATGGCTAGTACCTTCGACCCTGAAACCATGAAGAGGAATTTTAATCAGTTTGCTGAAAGCATCAACAAAGCTGTAAGAAAATTCTTTTTGGTTTTTATCCACTAAGTAGCTATATATATAACAAACTTGGTTGTAGTGTTCTTTTACAAAGCTAAATTAGAATAGAGCAGAGCTATAATTAAATAGACAAGCTTAGAAATTGTGGTGCTTGTGCTACGATATTCGGCAACCAGCCGGACGGCGAGCATGGGTTGCTCGCCACCCAACTACAACTAGACCCAGACCTGCCTTGAAAGAGCCAACAGACATACAGATGGGGCCAAACAGGGCTGATTTTCAGCCGGGGTTGCGGGTCGAACAAAATTATGTGCCGCGGCCCTGGTCTTAGGCAGGAGACGAAAGGCAGAGGTTTTTTTAGTGTTTAGTCAGCGTCCTATACTCTCTCTCGGCCCACCCAGGTTTAGAGAAGGCATTTAAAGATATTTTCCCGTTCAAACGAAAAAAAAAAGGAAAGTAACGTAGAGATTACGTACACGCCAGTGTTTTATAGAAGTAGTATGCTACATAAACTTTAGTTCTCAAAATGAAAAGGTCCATCTCTTAGCTTATTGAAACTTGATCTTACTCAAAATCGAGCCTCTCGTGGACCTTTATTATATTAATGAATACAGCTAATGATACTTACTTTGTTGTAAAGAGCTCCAACTTACAACAAAAATACATCATAAGTATGTATATTCGTTTTATCTTAACTAGTTGATAATTACATGTTGAAGGGTCCATTAGGATCGGGTCTTATAATATAGCATACAACTCTATACCGATCAATGACGTCAGATGCTAGTGTAAACTAATGTTCAACTAATATTTTTATTTACAGATGAGCGATATGAAAGCCAAGCCAGCGGCTGCATAGAAGACTGACTTACGTAAAGCAATGTAAACCTTAAATAAATTAATCAGTAGATTCAAAATCTTTTACCAGTTGTGAAGGCCGTGTGCCTAGCGCTAACATATTGAATTTGAAATAAAATAGACTTTTTTGTTATAATTTATTGTTTGTGTGGTTTCATTCAATGAACCGTAGTTCATTTCCTAAGTTTTTAGGTATGCTGAAAAAATCCTTTTATCTAATGAATTGAAGAAACATGATTGCGAAACGACCTCCTGATATCAATTGACACCCGGTTTGGGTAGTTTTATTTTTTGTAAGGTACACTTTCAATAAACCGCCGATGATAATAAATATGCCAAAAAGATTATGTCTCGTAGGTTTTGAGCAAAGAAGTATTAAAAGAAACGTGTATGTAATGTCATTTTTTATGTAATACGTCGGCAAACGAGCTGACGTATTAACTGATGATAAGCAATCAGCGCCGCCCATGGACACCCGCAATGGAGGAGTTACGAGGGCGTTGCCGACCTTTTAGAGATTAGGGATTTGGGGATTTAGGAAGGATTGGGGGAGGGGAAGGATTGGGCCTCCGGTGACTTCACTCACACGGCGAAACACGACGCCGTGTTGTATTATAGTAGTAGTATAGTATAGTAGTAATTGTAGTTGTATTTTGACCAAACCGTTGTAAGATGTAAAAACAATAATTATTGTTGAATGATTTCACAATAAAAAGTGACTAAACATCACATTTTAAATATACCTAATCCTCATAGGTATCGTTAAGCATGAATTTAATGTAACACCAATTATTCGACAGAAGTGTCTAATGATGAGCAAAAGCCTCGCCCACGAAGATGAAATGAGCATCAATCGCCACGCATGATCAAGAAAGATTAACGATTTCACTTTTATAATTATAAAACACCAGTTCAAGTTTTCTCACGATGTCCAGATTCCTTCACCTATCTGTCTGTGTTGTCTAAATAGTCTTAACTTTACCATACATACATCATACAACACATACATACAACTCAAAAAAGGTTACATTGGTACCTGCCAAATATCGAAACCTCCAAGCCACTACAATAAACGATTATTTTAAAAAACAATTAAAAACATATTTATAATATTTCTGCTTATTAACTAAATAGAAATTATAACAATAAAGTTGTTTAAGTTTTAAAAACGAAACTACAATTAACGCCTAATCACTCACCCTTACTGATATAATTACTTAGAAATTTGTTTTGGACTGTCCCAACAACTAATCATATATTTCGTTGAAAATATTAAAGGTCATTGAGATAAGCAGTTCAAACATAATTTGGACAGAAATCTAAATATATAGGATTGCTGACACTGTAAGCAGCAGTATCAACTGTGTTGTGAAGTTGTGAAGACGTTAAGAAAAATGAACAAGCTCTTCATTGTCCTTTTGGCCGTGTGCCTCGTCAGCGTAAGTGATTACTCATATTCATTTTACTTATCCATTTCGGGACTCAAAGTGATAAATAAAAAATTTTGTTTCACAAGAACTGATTTGTTTAAATTCGAGTTTCAGTAGTAGTCCGAGTAGTGAATTGAGACAGATTTTTTGTTTTAATTTCCAAAACAAAGTAGCTTGGGAAGCATATCATTAATATATGCAGAAAAAAGTTTCAATGAAATTTTCTATTTTTTTCGAAGAATAGCGTTTGTAGAAACGGACACACACATTAACATAATTATTATGCTATGTTTAGTATTCTCTATTACTGTTTTCCTATAAACAGTGTTTTGTGTTATTGATTTTTTTTGTACATTTCGTCTACCCGTTAAATATTTTTTTTTATGTTGGTTTATTATAAATAAATGTCAGTCAGTCAGTGTAATTATGAGTATTTTACGTAATATTGAGGGAATATACAGGGATAAGCATACATACATATTTTTAAGCATGGAAAAGCCATATGTATGCTTCAACACAAATAGGCTGCTTAGACTATAGTGACGCCTCTTAATTAACTCTCGTGAAAGTCTGAAAGTGTTTAATTTGATTGCACTTTTGGCGGAGTAGCTGGGCAACCGGCTGCCGCGCAGTGTGTTGCGGGTTCGATTCCCGCACGGAACAACTCATCGTGTGCTCTACCAATTGTTGTTTCGGGTCTGGGTGTGATGTGTATTTATAAACGCACCCACGACACATGAGAAAATACTAGTCCATCATTTATAAAAATATTTTACGGGCCACGACGACAGCCTAAACAATTATTATTATATTTTATTATTTTTGATACAGGTTCACGCTTTCGTGAAACGCGATGCCCCCGCGGCTCAATCGGAAACATCAAACATTCAAAAACAATTTGAGGACATTGCCGCGACCGCAAAGAATATCGGTGACAATATTTCGAAAACGGTTTCCGAAGCTCTGGACTCCGAAAAGCTGAAACAACAGTTCAACGAATTGATGAATGCCGCATCCAAAGCGGTAAGGATTTATTTATTTAATTAGGACTTCTAACAAAACTTACTTGATATTTTTTCAAGTTAACAACCATATTTTCCTAGAAATGTGCTTTTTACAATTTGCAACAACATAGATATGGAAAAGTTTCTTTCTTGAAAAATATTAAAACATAAATGTATATTTATCACAATTATAATATAAATTGAAAGAAAAATATATATTTAATATCAGTAAAGGAAATAAAAAAAGTGAAATAATATAAAATTTCATAGCATCTGTCGTAGTAACTTGGTGGTTAAACCTTACTTTCTAAGATTATTAGTACCTACCACACTGACATTCGGTAAAGATTGGGAGAAACGTGGAATTGCCAAGCCACCTTAGTTAATCACCCTCGTCGTTTCTTTGTGTTAGAAGAGACATTTGCTCAGCAGTGGGCTGATGATGATGAAACAACGATAATAATATTAATTAAATAAGACTCCCAAATTGGTGCACTTCGATTAATAAAAAACACGAAATATTCGCAGTGTGAACCACAAAAGTGTGGTTCCATATTTCAATTCGACTGCAAGTGGTCGGGTTGACTGGGCAACTGGCTGCCGCGCAACGTGTCGCGTGTTCTATTCTCGCACGGAACAACTCTTTGTGTGATCCACAAATTGTTGTTTCGGGTCTGGGTGTAGTGTGTTTGTAACAGCCACCACGACACAGGAAGAAATACTACTGTAGGGGCAACTTTTTTTAACATTTCACCATATTGCAATGTTTGTTAATTTAAATTTATTTTCTTATTTCAGCTTGACGACTTAAAAGCCAAAACCGAACCCGCCAAACCCGCTGCCTAAATGAAAGACTGATTATGTTTTACAATAGAATTAATTAAGCATTTTATATCTATATCCATGTATAAAATAATAATCAATCACAGATCCAAGTTGCCCAAGCTGTATGTTACAATTTAAGTTCCACAGCCATTAATAAAGTTCATATAAAATCAATTTTCGTTTTTATTTATTGTTTATAAAAAGTTGTGTGTGAAAGACTGTGGATGTGAAGACCCTGAGTTCCCGATTGGGACCCAGATGAAGGATGAGGTACAGTTGTTGATTTCAATCGACTTTAGAGTTTTTTCAATTAAATATTGTTGAAAATTTGTCAAAAATGTATTGTTTAACTTGTGATCCATTCCTAATTCCGTTCGCGTCTAATTCCTCAGACCTCTAACCTAGGAAAACAATCAAGAATCAAGTAGTTAGATTAGTCGAACCGAAATTGAAATACTATGTAAAAAGGTTTGTCCAACCTGGCTTTAGAATATATAAACAATAAAATCGATTCTGTAAATTTTATTTGAGTTCAACAATGCAAAGTTGGGAAGATGAATGAAACTATTTGCTATCGTGAGCCATTAGGTACTGATGGAGTTAAATGTATTTGGTTGAGGACGAAACTATTTCAATTTTTTAATGGACTTGGAGACAAATTATAGTTCAACGAATCGGCTGGTGGTAAGGTAATTACAATAATGCGCTGCCCAAGGAGATCAGAATGGCAACAAATTACTGTTAAGTCCGCCTTTAATCATAATTAAGTCGGTCATTTACTGGGTATATTGTAAAAAGATGAACTGAATAATATATAATTACTGAAGTCCATGGATATCCACATATTCAAAGGAGTTTTTAAGAAAGAAGACATTAGTTTTTTGGAGATTGTTAATTATTAAATATACATAACAATGAATTATTCCATTTTCGAAAATTTGGATGAGACTAATTATCAGTCGGTCTGTAAGATGGCGATTAAAATATATTTTTTTATATATTTCCGCGGATAAGATAAAAGTTTACAAATTTAACAGAGACTGGGCATCAACACTTATTGGTGTATTCTGAACCATTTCAATTATAAACTTTAATTAGTCGTAGATTTGTGAAAACACACTTTTTCTGGGAAAGGATGGGATACGATCTGATAGTTCATCTGAATCGGCTGCTCCTTTGGGCACTGGCACCACCGAGAAGCTACAAGTGCAATGCATTTGGGGTTTTTTAGCCCCAAATCGGATCATCAGATTGGTTTTGATTACATTTCTTTTTGAGGGATTTGGGGAAGTCTTAATACTCTACTAACATCACTCATACGCCAAAACACAGTGCAAGTGCAAGGCCGTAGTTTCACACCGGTTGAACTAGCCGATTTGTACTGAACACTGGCTCTCCTACAACTAAATGAGAAATCATTCCATTCTCGCCCCATTGGATTAAAACGCACGAGGCAAATAAACTAAATTACGCATGACGGCCAGCAGGCCTCTGGTTTTAAATCATTAACTTAAACCTTTTTAAAAGCGATCTTCAATCTACTTACAATTTTATTATGTGGGGTAAAATCATTAAATGACTTTTCTCGCACTAGGTAGTGGGATAAGAAGTGTCAGACTCTTACTGACCAAAAACCCGTTCCATGGCATCCTGCTCCCAGCCGAGGCCGCTATAGGTATATTATTGAGCTTGCCCGGCTACCCTAGCTGAATCAGCCTACTTGAATGCTAGATTCAGATTATATAACCCCTTTAAATGTACAGGAGATCAATAATTTATTATTAGTTTTTCATCATGATTATTCAAGTTTAGCAACAACTTGTCACTCTTTAAAACTTCAAATATAAACCTAATGCTATCACTTGGCCAACGAAGCGTAATGCCCATGTTAAAATTAAAAACGTAACGAGTCAAATAACCCTTTCATTATCTACAATTCAGTGGCAAGGTCAACTACAAATTATTTTGTTGAATGTAGTAATAGTGTGTGGTGTTGATAATAAAATTGGATCAGAATATTGTGGGGAATAATGGCTCTTATTTTCGCTTGAAAAACGTCATTAGTGGAAATACATTACTATGTTGTGTAAATTTTATTGATATCAATGACGTCACCCTGCGGAATTCTGCTAATTTGTTAAATGTTAAATCTTCTTAAAACAAATTGTTCAAGATATATAATAATGCTAGTAAGAAATTTAAAAATATTCAAAAACCCATTTCAATTTTAATTATATGGCTATGGCATATTTCGGCTGTCTGTGTCTTGACGAAGAGATTAAATTAAAGAGATAAGCAATAGAAGCACCTGATTGTATTTATAGTAATTTTGGTGTGTGTAGTGCTGAATGATAATATGTGTCGTAAGCTCCAACTAACAAGATAAACGTTTCCGTAAAAACGGACACGAATGAAATCGTAAAACCGTAAAAATAGTAAAATTCGTTGATTTTAAGTGTGGAAAGGCCATGTTTCGGCACGCCACATGTTTGGTCGCCTCGACTGGAGTGTTACCACGGCCCTAAAAGAAACCGGCGTGAAACAACCACAGCCACTTTTGCGTCGTGTGAGTGAGGTTAACGAAGGCCCAACCCTTACCCTCCCCCAATCCCTCTCCAATATCTGACTGCATAAAACCCTAATCTCCAATAGGCCGGCAAGGAACTCGTAACTTCTCCGTTGTTGCGAATGTTCATGGGCGGTGCCGATTGTTAACCGTAAGGTAATCGGACGACCCGATTGCAGTCTTATCATATAAAAAATCATGAAGGTGTGGGTATATACATGTAACACTTATTAAAGTATTAAGATATGAACTTTAATAATTTTAAATTGACTGCTGTGCAATGTTTCGTGAGTTCAATCGTCGCACGGAACAGCTCTTTGGGTGATTCACAAATCGGTGTTTCGGGCCTGGGTGAGAAGTGCGTGTGATTTTCTATGTTTTGAGTTCTACTACCAGTGAGAAGGTTTTATTTAATAACAAAAAAGAAATGTAGGATAATACTAAAGAAATACATATATAGGTATACTTTCTGCTATCACTGAAATTGATGAAAGTATTTTATTTATTTGAACTTTATGCAACATAAAATTACATAGGCGGACTTAATATAATAGGCATTCTTATCAACCTTAGGGTGATGCAGAGTCAATATAGTTGGTGCAACAGGAAGAAAACTTCGAGAAAGAAAGTAAGATTGCAAAATAAAACTTGAATATGAATAAAATTGAATTTATATTTATTAATAAATACAAGATCAACGTCTTTCGTGGCAAATATTTTGGCAAGTACCAATGTGACTTTTTTCGAGTTATACGTATTTCATTGTTTATTTAGACACCACTAACATACGATTAAGGCAAACGTCGTGAGGAAACCTGGACTTACAATTTCTAATTATAAGTTTGAAATCGCCAATCCGCCTTGAGCAAGCTTGGTCATAAAAAACAAACCTTTTCAGAGTAAGAAGACGTTTTTGCTCAGCAGTGGGTAGTTATGGGCTGATGATATGAAAATTATGTAAAAACATAACTTTATGAAGTAGATCGGAGCTATATAGTCCTACAGGATACTACCGATTGGTTCCAAAGTCTCCAGCAATTACTGTTTGTTACCAACTCATTTATTAATTAGCAATGATAAACGACCCGGGGTCATTTCGATAATGGATGCAAAACATCGGCTTCTCTGCATATCAAGATAAAGGGGAACTTCAGTGGCATACAGTGCAGTTCGCTTTCTGATTTTGAGTTGCAAAGACGTACCATTTCGCACATTTTCAAAATGAACAAGCTTCTTATCGTTTTGTTGGCTGTCTGCCTTGTTAGCGTAAGTTTTCTTTTGCTTTATATTAATCATTATTTAGTATGACATATTTTTTAGATCTCGATTCATTCTCGCAGTTTTGTTTTAAATTATTTTTATTTTTTTTCTTCACCTTTAATGCCTTGGTATCCTGTAAACTGTTTGTGGTTTTTGGAACACGGCCCTGATATGAAAATTTATAATAATAGTTCAAAACCATCACAAAATTAGCGTTTTGAATTATGTTTGTATTTTCAAGCTTATATTGCTCGAAACATACTAGAAAACTGTCCTTGCCCTTGTTGTATTTTTCGTCATTCTAAAAATCTAACAGATCAAAGCTGTGTCTTACGGAAAAATAGATATACAAAACCCGACCTTATTCTTCACATCATTCGTATTATAACACTAACAACAAAAACTCTTTTTTAACACAGGTTCACGCTTTTGTAAAGCGTGATGCACCTGCCGCTGACAACAAGAACTACATTGAGACAATACAGAAACAGATGGAAGAGTTCGCAAAGACCGTTAACACTCAAATGGCACAAGCTTTCGACCCTGACACCATCAAGAAGAACTTCAATGAATTAGTTGACAATGCTAGTAAGACGGTAAGAAATATTTTAATAATTATTTTACGTGTGGATATGTGTCGTGGTGGCCCGGAAAAGTGCTCATTTATGTGGGTGCTGGTTTGAAACCTGACTAATACTGTTGCCAATGTGTCTTTTTCCGAGTTAAATGTGTTTTTAAAGTGATTACGACACCACTTATTATATAATATCACCATCATTTATAAGTGCTTACTACTGCTAAGCAAAATCTTCTTGTCACCCGAAGAAGGTTTATTATATTAAGGAGCATTAATTACCACGCTTATAAGACCAGGCTTCTTCACGACCTGACAAGTGATCGACTTTTTTGGGTTATAAAGTACTTTCTAAGTTTATTAAGTATTATTGCGAGGTAACTAAGCTAAGTTCAATCGTGCGGCCCAGCGTGCCGCCGTGAACTGATTAATGCTCAAACCGCCTTTACTTAGTAGTAAGTAAACGAATGATGATCATTTCTGTATGTGTGTATTGTGACTCGATATATCCACCGACTTGTTCGGGTGAATTTCTTCTTTGCATTCGGGTTTCTCAATTTATATTTTCGACAAAAGTTCAGAACTTTCCTTTTAAAGAAGACCAAAAAGTGGGTGATGACATTCCTTTATGTGCCTTTTTGACTAATTACCTATTTAGAGACTAAAAGGCTTAACATGGTGCTATAATAAAACAATAACGTCTAAATAATAGGTTGTAAATATACTAATCTAATGTCTTCCATGTTAGAGTTTTCTAAGTATAACGGTTATAGTAATTATTGATGTATCAAGTAATATTTCACAGATGATGAATAGCACTGCTTACTAATATACTTTTAAACTCCGATTTTCAACCAGAAAGATGTGCGTGGTCATTATCAACAAACGCCTGTTAGAATATAGTGAATCCCCGTAGACTAGGACCGTCAATTTGTTTTATTGTTGTTGTGAGAGGAAACTCATCAATCGACTTCTCCCGCCCAAGGTCGGGAGTGGCAGACTGTTACTAACTAAAAAACCCCCGTTCCGTCTCCTGCTCTGCGCCGAGGCTGCGGTGCCTCCTTGCGCTTGCCCCGCAGCGAGATGATCTCCGGCCACCGTAAGCGCGGGTCTGCGGACGGCGAGTAAGAGTAACTCGCCGCCCGACCAGAACCAGACCCGAACGTACGGCGCGTAGTGTTCCGCGCGTGCCTCAAAGAGCCAATAGACCACCACTGCGACTTCGGCCTAGAGCAGGAGTAGGAACAGGGGGGTTTGTAGTCAGTAAGAGTCTGACACTCCCTCCCGCCCCACCCTGGGCGGGAGAAGTCATTTGATGATTTTCCCCTCACAAAAAAAACCCCGGCTGAACATCAGCCCTACAGGGCCCCCTCTGTAGTGGTCTCTTGGCTGTTTGAGGCACTGTCATTGTTTTTTTTTATGTCGCATTGAAGTGTATTACAATGTGATCACTACATCATTATTTTATTCACCTTTACAGATTAACCAAATGAAAGCTGCGGCTCAACCCAAAGCGGCCTAAAAGACTGATTCGCGTACAGTGAAAAACACTACTTATTTACTCATAATTTAGAGCCTATAATTATATGTATTCTGCCTTTCAAATCATAGCAAATTTGTATTTAATTTTTGTATAAAACAATATTTATTATGTCTATGAAATCCTGCAATTTATGTAATAAAACAACTTCTTAAGAAATCGTATATTTTATTTTAATTAAGTGTCGGAGAGCCGTGCTTCGGCACGAACCGGCTCGACCGGAGTGATACCACGGCCTCACAGAATACCGGCGTGAAACAACCACAGCGTTGTGTTTCGCCGTGTGAGTGAGGTTACCGGAGGCCCAATCCCTTCCCTTGCCCTATCCCTTCCCGATCTTTATATCCGCAACCCCTATCCCCAAAAGGCCGGCAACGCACTCGTAACTTCTTTGGTGTTTCGGGTGTCCATGGGCGGCGCCGATTGCTTACCATCAGGTAATCCGTCTGCTCGTTTGCCGACTTCTACCATAAAAAAACAATTTGTTGGCAATCGAACATAAATAAGTATCATAATTAATTTTACCTGTATTACAAATGAAACAAAACGAACAAAAATAAACGAAAGATAGCAAGATAAACATAAAAAAAGTGAGTCGAATTTATTTCAGCATTTCTTCCCACAGTGATCAGAGAGGAAACACCGACTTCATTAGAAATTTAAAAAATAATAATATAATGTTGTACATAAGGCCTATTTACAAAATTAATTTATCGTGTCTTTAATTAATTTGCAAAAAGCTAGGTATGGTAGTTCTACTCATATACAATTCCTGAAAATCAGACAATATATGAAACAATTTAATAACTATCACAACTCATTATCAGTGTAGTTAAAGCCTACAAGAAATGTTCTGTGATAACCATACGCTGACCCGTTATCATATTCTGATAAGTGAGGTCTTCACAAGTTTAAGGTCAATTGTTGATATGAATATCATCAGTATCTAGGTAATTAATGGATTAATGTAGTAAGTACTAGGTTTCGATCCCGGATCGACTATGTAGGTTTTTGTATGCAATATTTTGGCAAACGAGTCAACGGAGTTTCGATGGTAAGCAGATGGCGCCGCCCATTTAGGTTATAATTTTTAATGACAGCGCATTTTTACTACAACTTACTACTGTTGTTTGAGGAGAACGTGGTTGAAATCACCTTTCTATGAGATCTGTACTCTTGTATCTGTATTTTTGTATTTTTAAATAACAAATGTTTGGTTTTCTCTAATTAACAAAATAAAATTATAGAGGGTGGCTTACCTTTTTAAAATGAAGGCCTTATACTCATATTATGTTACTATCTCTGACCAGCTTGTAGTAAAAGTGATATTTCATTGAACGTGACAGACAAACAAAAAGTTCAGCAATTAAATCTGAAAGCAATTGAATCGGTACAAAGCATTACTTACTGGATGCAATCACACTAGTGTAGTCCGGTCAATTTAGACCAAAAAATGAGAAAGTCCCAACAAGCTGAATTTCTGTGAAATTGTTCAAAACATAGTTATAGACAATGTCTAAAAGTTCCCCATCATTTCCCGGTAAGGAATTTTTTTTATTGAAGGCCAAAGGTCAAAAAAATGTGATTTTCTATTAACCTAGCAGTTTTGAAACAGGATTAAAAAAAACATTCCTCGGATATCAATACTGGGATGATAAGTCAATGTTTTTAAATATTTTGTATAATTCCTGACAATCTAAATTTTCTTTATCCAAAATATTACGATTGAAATCAGCATAACAAAAGTTGATTTCATCCGGAATATTAGACCTGTATGTATTGTCCTATATTTCATCTCATGTATACTGTATACATATACAGCAGCGCATTCGTATTGCTGTCGAGTTTCATCACTTAGCATATAAAGAGCCACTTTCAGGATTCCTTCATAAAGGGAGCGATCTGGAAAATTTTAAATTTGCTGAGAAATTTTTTAAAATCTTTTTGTGAAAGACTCCTCTTGGTGCGGTTAGGGGTTGAAGAAAGAATTTTTACATATTTTTAATGGGCGTTGTGTCAAAAATTTTAATATTTCATACGATTTAACTTGAACGTAAAAGCGACGTATTTTTGTTTATTTCGGCCCTTGAATGGGTAGGTAGGATGCAGAGAATTTTATTTAAATAATTTGTCCAGTATGGGAGAGGTTCAGCCTCTCAATTAAAGTGTATCAACCACAATAGGAACTATATCGCTCAGATCTACGTTCTGGTACACCATGGGTTAATTTAATTAAGAGTTTGAAATCGCTAATTCCCGTTGAAGAAGCATGGTGATTAATTTTTAAACTTGATCCATGTGAGAAGAGCATTATACTCAGCACTTACAGGCTAATGATGAATTAAAATTACAAGTATTGAGTACCCCAAATTCATAATCAAATCAAAGGTTGACTGGCAGAAAATGCTTCTAGCATTAAGTCCTCCGATAAGCAATTGTATATAAAGAATAAATAAATAAATAAATAAATAATCAAACCATTAAGTAAATATTCGAATCATTTCTGTCTAAGAAGGCCATATTAATGAAGCCCAAATAGGTATCTCGAACTGAATAAAAATAATTCCTCGGCTACATTCGTCGCGGTTCTTTTCAAACTAATAGAATATTCTCTCTGGCTCAAGTTACGGTTTCTGCAGGTAGTTTTAATATGCATGGAGCCCAGCTGCCGATAAGCCGTCCTTACAAAGCCTGACCTGATCCTATTTGAGCGTCTTGGGCCGTCTACCCGAAGGATTTTCTCAGATTTACACCAGATTTTCCCTTCGGAATATAGTGGTTGCATACTTTTATATTGCTTACTCCTAAGTCAATTTTATTCTATTTCAACTGAATATTTTGAGTTGTTTTATAAATATGTATTATATTATTTTGGTGAAAATTATAATTTAACTGTCTTGTATTTTAAGTGAATCTGTTGTAATAAGTCTATTTAAAAACGTTTCTTTCAACGTAGGTAACATAAAAATATTTTCGTTGAAAATTAGTGGTATCACAAGTTCGATGGATCTGTTATGTCTGTATGTCTTTAGTTAATGTTTCATACCTAGTATCTATGCAACTAAAATGGCAAACGAATTAATATCTCTATTATTGTTATAACACTTCTTTGAGGTTGTTACTCTACGTTTATTGTAGGTCTCAATATTATACATACTCACTTTAAAAAACACAATGTATACATATTATTATATTATGCTAAAACGTTATGTTACCTCCCAAGCCCACATAATTCAAGAAGAGCCATCATGTCACATCCATATTACTTTCGATCATTGTCAGAGTAGCTAGCAGAAATCTCACGACAGAGACATATAACGTGAACGCAGGTGCGGAAACTCCTCAACAAACATTTGTCTAAGTTGACTCGAGACCAACAAACTTTACAGTTCCCTAACGTAATAATGCACCATATCTCAAAGTAATAAGATGTACATTTTGTTTTTTGAACGCAGCATTAACTTTGTAGAACAGTTCCGTGGGCGAAGAAATAAGTCATTTGAAGATAAATTGATATTACTTATTAGAAATAATTGACAACCACAGCGTTGTTTCGCCGTGTGAGTGAGGTTACCGGAGGCCCAATCCTTCCCCTCCCCCAATCCCTAAATCTCCAAATCCATAATCCCTAAAAGGTCGGCAACGCACTCGTAACTCCTCCGTTGCGAGTGTCCATGGGCGGCGCTGATTGCTTACCATCAGGTAATCCGTCTGCTCGTTTGCCGACCTATTACATAAAAAAAAAAAAAAAATTGAGATAGAATTCAAGGGCTTAATGATTAGCAAATAGAACTTAAATTAGGTTTGGAGTTTCTGGAACATAATTCGTTATGTAATTAATGAATTTGTTATTGTTTGTAAAATATTGTTTAGTTTATAAGGACCTATTGAAATTATTTCTAAACGTCATTACTGACTCATAGGCATAGTTTACTCATAATTATTTAATGGTCCTATAATATATTACCATTTGTAAGAAGTTAAAACAACATAGGAAAATGGCCAAATGGTTAAGATAAAAGATGTATAATTTACTTCAAAATATAATCTTTGCTTGCTAAATTCTATAACTGAATATTTAAGTTATTATTTTAAACAACACAAGCACGAGAGAACTACGAGCACAAAAACATGTACACCCAAGGATCAACAATGTACACACGAGACAAACAACTTAAAAGTAACAAATTTGTAAATCTCAACGCGCATAGATGCGTCCGTCCTTTGTCCAGACGTACCTACCTAACTAACCTAGCCCGCTGCCCAGCCTCACGAGCGCTGTGGAACAATTTACTGTTAGCCGTTTGGTATGTAGAATTTACTTGGCACCGACTTCAAAATTATAAAATAGTTACTAAATATTATTTTCTATTTTAACTAAATGAAAGTGTGTATTACTTTGAACAAAGTAAATTTATTTTTGCTTTTTAGTTTACTTTTGAAGTCGGTTCTTTTTTTGTTAAAAAATATTTTATTTCACCATTTTAAGTGATAGGCAGAGAAAGCTAGGATGCTTCTTAAAAGAGAAGACGACGGCTACTAGAGACCGAAAATCACAGTAATGGCAGTCCTGAGTTAGTCAGCTTTCAGTGTCATTTGTCAAGTGACGTCTAAAATAATATTTTTTCAGGAATCTGTCTATTTGTGCAATTCCACAGCATCTTAATAAAAAAGGGAAACTACTATAATAGTAAAATCTAATATTCTTTAAATTAGAAAATAGCATTTAAACACCAAGCCTTGTATATCGCAAAAGAGATGGTCTTTGTAGAGATACAGGAAGCACATTTATTTGTTATGCACGTACGAAAATAAAAATTGATTCATCAAAACGAAAAAGATACCTATGCCTTCACTTAGAACCTATAATTTGGAATAACACCGGATTTATAGAGAGGTAATGAGGTATACAAAAATTATAAAAAAAATGTTTTGAAAGAAAATTTCTAAACCATGGAGTTATTCTCTTCATTTAATAATGACTTTTTTGGTCTTTTAAGCATTAAAACAAATGTAATAATGAATAAATTGTTTGTAGAGAGGGCAAATATAGCAAA